ATAATTCAGGGGGTTTAATGATTCTGACTTTGACTGTTTATGATATTAAGAACACATTTAAACACATAAACAGTGTTGAGCATAGAGGAGTTCACAGCTCAAAGAGAAAGAGACAGAGCGATAGATAGAAAGACTGCAGCTCTACTTTATTCTTCTCTAACACACACACACACACACACAAATGCGCTACACAGAGCGAAAACGCAGCTCTACTTTATTCTCTAACCACACACACACACACAGAAATAGAGAGCAGCTCTACTTTATTCATATCTAACACACACACACACACACACACACACAGAAAGAGGGAGAATGTAGCTCTAATTTATTTTTCTTTAACACACACACACACACACAAATGCGCTACACACAATCAAAGATGGAAAACGCAGCTCTACTTTATCCATCTCTAACACACACATACACAGAGTGAGAGAGAAAGAGAGAGCAGCTCTACTTTATCCATCTCTAACACACACATACACAGAGTGAGAGAGAAAGAGAGAGCAGCTCTACTTTATCCATCTCTAACACACACATACACAGAGTGAGAGAGAAAGAGAGAGCAGCTCTACTTTATTCTTTTCTAACACACACACACGCGCGCACACACATATACAAATGTATACTCTTACAAACACATAGATAGAAAAAGAGAGATTGCAGCTCTATTTTGTTCTTCCTAAACACAAATGCTCACACACACACACACACACACATACTAACATAAACACAAACACACACTAACACACACACACACACACATGAACAGAGAGAGAGAAAAGAAGCAGCTCTACTTGATTCATTTCTAACACACATACACAGAAAGAGGGAATGCAGCTCTACTTCTCAGTTCTCTAACACACACACACACACACACACACACAAGTATGCAAAAACATACACACAGAAAGCTAAGAGAGAGACAGAGAGAGAGAAAAAGATCACAGCTCTATTTTATTCTTCTTAAATACAACTGCTCACACACACACACACACACACAGAGAGAGAACGCAGCTCTACTTTATTATTCTTTTATTCTCTCTCTCACACACACACACACACACACCAACTCATCTCCTATGTAGTCACATCACTCTGAATAAGAGGAAGAGTGTGTTTCAACTGGCGGAAGAGCAGAAAGAGCAGAAAAACTACCTGTTCAGTTAAAAAGCAGAAGAAAAGAGGAAGAAGAGAAACTGCAATCTGTTGCAAAACCCTTACTGTAAATGCAAACCACTGCGTTTCTGTAGGTGACGCAACTCTCGCATCTGAAAAGTTGCAAGAGCAGCATGGAGCCTCGCTGCGGCTCATCAGCATTTAAAACATTTACACCTTTATTTAAGAGTAACCCGAGGCCAGACCTTCATCATCATCCTCATCCTCATCAGACGTCTTCGCCTCGCTCTCACAGCACAAAGATCACCAATAACCAGCGCAAACACCATCTGTCAAGCGAGAGGCTGCTTTTCTGGTTGTCTCAGCGCTTTCAGAGAATGCCTTAAAGACAAAAACCCCTCTCCTGCTCACCGCAGCTTCATCATGCGCTCGACCATCAGCAGATTTGAGTCGTCAGCGCTCCATCTTCAGCAGAAAGTACAGTGCTGATCAGATTACACCTCTCCACCGCAGCCTTTCACACACTAATTGCCCCAATATCACAATTAGCTGGAACTGTTACTGGGAGATTTCCGGTTAATGATGTAAACGGCCTCTTAAAAGGCTCTAAATGGATTTACATGGTTACATGTGGATGTCACAGAGAAAAGAAACGGACTTCGTTGTGCTTGGCATGGTATTGATCTGAGCATCGTGGCTTGACATGCAAATGACCCCAACACACATCTACCATGTCAGAAGTGTGTGTTTGTTACACCTGTCAGAGATATTCACACACTGAATTAAATAATAGGGTTAAACATATAGAAGAAAGGAGATGTGAATTATGGAAAAGATGATACAGCAACATTGATATTCCATAAAACAAGCATGTTAGAATATATTTAAAATGCAAGAAAAATGCTAAATAAATAATCATTAAAAAATCATGGTTAAATGCATTTGAAACTACAGCAATATTGATATTCCACAAATCAAGCATGCTAGAATGTATTAAAATATGGCCAGAAAAAAAACTTTAAAAAAATGAAAAATTGGGTTAAAATGTAGCAAAAATTACGAATTAAAATATAAAAACGAAAAAAGTAGCAAATGATACAGAATTACTACTTTTTTATTTATTTGTTTATTTTTTACATTATCTTATTCTTTTTTTTATGTTAAAACTATTTTAAAAATACCAAAGAAAAATCCATAATAAATAATCTGCAAAAAATCCAAGTTAAATGCATCAAAATCTGATTAGGAAAAACGGACTATGTTGTGTTTAGCATGGTATTGATTTGAGCACTGTGGCTTGACATGCAAATGACCCCAACACACATCTACCATGTCAGAAGTGTGTGTTTGTTACAGCTGTCGGAGCTACTCACACACTGAATTAAATAATAAGGTAAAAATGTAGAAAATAGAGGATGTGGAATATGGAAAAGATAATACAGAAACATTGATATTCCACAAAACAAGCATGCTAAAATGTATTTAAATGTTTAGAAAAAAAATTAAATGTAGCAACAAATATTAATTAAAAAAATTGTAAAAAATAAAAAAACTAATGTAGCAAATTATACAGAATTGCTGTTTTTTATTACTTTGTTTATTTTTTACATTTTATCTTAATTATCTTATAAAATGCAAGAAAAATACTAAATAAATAATCATTAAAAAATCATGGTTAAATGAATTTGATAGTACAGCAATATTGATACTCCACAAAACAAGCATGCTAGAATGCATTAAAATATGGCCAGAAAAAAAAACCTCAAACACTTTGTTAAAAACAAAAAACAATAAAGCAGATTATACAGACTTACTATTATTTTAATTAATTTATTTTGTATATTTTATCTTAATTATCTTTTTTTTTTTTTACATAAAATGATTAGGAAATACCATAGGTAAAATACTAAATAAATACTAATAAAAAAATCAAGGTTAAATGCATCAAAATATGATTAGGAAAAAACGGACTATGTTGTGTTTAGCATGGTATTGATCTCAGCATAGTGGGTTGACAGACATGCAAATGACCCCAACACATATCAGAAGTGTGCGTTTATTACACCTGTCAGAGCTATTTACACACTGAATTAAAAAATAAGGTAAATATGTAGAAAAAAGGGGACGTGGAATGTGATAAAGATAACACAGCAATATTAATATTCCACAAAACAAGCATGCTTTTTTATTAAAATATGGTCAGAAAAATAATTAAAAATGAAAATTTAGATAAATGTAGCAAAAATATTTTTAATTAATTTGTTTATTTTTTTACATTTTATCTTATTAATCTTTTTTTATTTACACAAAATTATTGAAAATGCTAAATAATATTTTTTTTAAATCAAGGTTAAATGCATCAAAATATGATATAAGAAAAAAATGTTTTAGAAATGTTAAGTCAGGATAAAATGTATAAACGTATAGCAGTAAAATTAAATATAGCAATAAACAAAATATATCATCAATGAAGCATAAAACTGCACAAATGCGAGGAGTTAAGATGCAAAATAAAACTATATTTTGTGTAATATCAAGTGAAAATGCACCAAAGTGATCAGAACCAAGATAATATGCAGCAAGATGTGATACAGAATAGTCATTTATTTTATTTCATTGCATTTTCTTTGTTTAAATTTTTTACCTTCGTTGTAAAATGTAGAATTATATGACAGGAAAATGCAACAACTAAAAACAAACGAACAAAAAAATAGTTTTAAATGTGAAAAAATGACAAAAATATCTTCCATGTAAATCAGGAAAAAATGAAAACAATATAATGCAACAAAAAACAGGTTCAAATATAGCATGAATTAAAATATATGAATAAGCCTGATGATAAGATGCAACAGTGCAAAGGATTAAAGACGCAAGGAGAAACATAAAAAAGACAATATCAACTTAAAATGCATCAAAATATGATATAAAAAAATAAATAGTCATTAAAAATCTAACATTAATGAGTCGCCATTGATCTTGATTTTGCAAAATAAATCAAGTCAGCATCTAATGGGCAAAAATGCTGATGATTAGGATCAAGACTGATGCACAGAAATGCTGTCTAGACTGAAGCATCAATTTACCACCTTCATAACGTCATTAAAACAGCCTAAACACACACACACACACACACACACACACACACACGCGCGCGCGCGGCAGATTCCGACCATAATCAATACCACTGATCACATCTATAGTGTACATAAAACTTCCAACATCGCATAAAGATCAATTATGAGCTGAACGGAATCACGTGCGGCTTTGTATCGCCGTTATTTATGTCTCCGCTGATGCGAGACCGTGACTGATGCTCCGTGCCTAGAAAGCTGCCCGGTTCCGCGCGCTCCGATGTGCCGTGTTGCCATGACGCCCCGGTGCCCGGGCTCACGTCAAACAAACACCGGCGATTGATGAATCAGCATCTTCCCGATCCGCAAAACCGACCATCAACACCGCAGATCTGATGATTTGAGCAGAATCCGCCGTAACGGAATTCACCTGTCAATCACCGGAGGATGCGCGCCAAACACTCCGGTAAACTAGTTCACCGACACACACACACACACACAATACAACCGACAGCAAAACAAGCATAGTACTTTCTGTACTTTCAATCAGCGTTTATATATAAGCTGTATTATTGTCTCTTTAACCCTAGTGTGCTCCCTACCTAGGGCTCGTTAAACCGTCCACAGCGAGATTCCCGCTGAAATGGTGATGATCTGAGGTAAACTAAACACCATCGCTATTCAGGTATTTGTCAAAAGTACTACGAGAATACCATCGCGGAATCACAGTACTTTCGCTGAGGGTGTAAACCTGTGGGTAACCCCCGCGGAAAACACTTAGAAGCGAGTAAATAAAGAGAAACGCACCTCGAACCCGGTGATCCGCTTCCCGCGCCGTCGGTTCTGATGAAGCAGCAGTTCAACCGTTCAGATCCGCGGAGCCGCGTGTGTGTGTGTATATGTGTGTGTGTTGCTGTGTAACCTCTGCCTGACTAGAGGAGACACATACACACACTCTAAATATAACACACACACACACACACTCACCGAATCCCGCTGTTTCTGCAAAAGTGTCAAAGCGAAAGCGACGATCAGAGCCGGCGAATGATCACAGATGAGGGTGTGTGAGTGTGTATCGATGAGCCCTTTGTCTGCTCGCTGTCATCATGGCTGTATGTGTGTGTGTGTGGCGAATGACCCGATCGTGATGATTCAGCACGGCGAGCCCTTTAAAACGCGCGTCCCGCTTTAACGCGCGTCACCAGACAGACTAGAAGCGCGCGTGTATATATAAATACAAATATGTAAATATTTTTACATTTAGTTATACATTTATCGACTATTTATATTACAAAGTATCATCAGTAGATTTGATTATTTATTAATGTGTTATTTATGTAATAATAATGTTTCAAATAGTGAAATATAGACAGCTTAACTATATTGTAAAATTGCATAACTATAAATAGGCTACATGAAGCGCACACGCACACACACACACCCACCATATTTGAGACATATTTCTAAATATAGATTGAAATGATATTCCCTTGTCAGCTCATCCCCAGGGCTTCTTTTATTAAGTGGCACTGATATCTCATAATAAAGTGGCATATATTTGTAAATGGTTCAAGCACTAAAATAAGAAACTGACATCTATCTACACACACACACACACACTCACGCAGGCACGCGCCTACTCGTGCACACTCAGCAAAACACAGGAGCGCGCGACTCGAGCGCGTGTCCGGCGCCGTCATGAACTCACCGAGCGCGTCCCGGGCAGCAGTGACGGTCACCGGTGGGGAAAGAGCGGATCTGCGGGAGTTTGTCGCTGTTTTCGGTGAATTTGTGACCGTGTTGATCCTCTTTCTCTCGCGCTGAAGCCAGACGTCATATGATTTGGTTTGATCACGTGGTTTCATTCATGAAGGATCCACGCAGCGGCAGCGCGACTCTTAAAGAGACACGCGCTCAATAAAAGCGGAGCTATAAACCTGGTGATTAACCGAAAACAAAATATTACCGTTAATAAAGCACGACATCTTCAGAAACAGTGCTGGAAATAAAGAGTATGCTGAATATATTTGTTTTTATATTAATGCACACTAAGGATGATTTCAGACACGTGCACGAGCAGCCGGCTGTTGCTATGGTTACAGGCTAAACTTGTGTTCGCGCGCGTCTCCTTTCAAACAAAAGTGCGCAGCTTCAGTGAGTTCGAGATATTCAGGATAAATAAACAAATATGAGTGAGTAAATAGACAGTCAATACAACCATTCTTGTTTTTAAGCTAGTGGCTCTGGAAACATTCTCTCAGTGTACGAGTAAACTTTTTCTAGATTGTTCAGATAAAGTTGTGAAAGTGTGATTTACATGTAATAAAAGACTGTCTGGTGTTTTTATGATAACTATATTTGGACAGTTTCATTCATTTATTTTCTTTTCAACTTATTAATCAGGGGTCGCCACAGTGGAATGAACCACCAACTCATCCAGCATACGTTTCATGCAGCAGATGACCTTCCAGCTGCAACCCATCACTGGGAAACACCCATATACTTCTATTCACACACATACACTACTGCTAATTTAGCGCATGTGTTTGGACTGTGGGGGAAACCGGAGCACCCGGAGGAATCCCACGCTAACACGGGAAGGAACATGCAAACTCCGAAAACACGAGCAGAACATGCAAACTACCCACAGAAACGCATGTTCTCCCCGTGTTGGCGTGCTTTCCTCCGAGTATGGGTGTTTCCCATTGATGGGTTGCGGCTGGAAGAGCATCCACTTTGTAAAACATATGCTGTATAGTTGACGGTTCATTCCGCTGTGGCGACCCCCTGATGAATAAAAGGACTAAGCTGAGGAAGAATGAATGCAGAGTTCTTCAGCTGATCTTCATTTGTGTTCAGTGGAAGACAGAAAGTGATGAACTGAGGAGCGAATGTTGGTTTTGGTGTGAACTGCCCCTTTAATGAAACTTCTGGATGTGTTTAGCGAGCTGAATCGTCCTACATGAGGAATACATGTCTGTAACGCTGTGCTCTTCAGCTCCTCCAGAGATCAGCTGCCTCAGCTCTTCCTGAACAGAGGAGAGAGGTGCAGATGTGGAGGAACACACACACACACACACACACACACACACACACTTATCTGACCACACTCGCACTGATTAAAGACCATCAACAGACATCTGCTCCAGGATCTGTCTCAAGTGTTCATTAGGCGCACACACTCAGGTACAGACACATACACACATGTACACACATGCACAAACTTACACATAAATACATACATATATTCTCACTCACTCACTCACTCACTCACACTTAGACACAATCATACAGAAATAAACACACACAAACATACACATTCACACAGAGATATACACACACACACACACACACACACACACACACATACCATACACAAATACACATATGCACACACTCACACACAGACATACACACACTAACATACACATACAGGCACACACTCACTCACATTTACACACTCGCACACATACTCACAAATACAGATAGACACACATACACACACACACATAAATGCACACACAGACATACACACAGGCACGCGCTCACACACGTTGCAGATGTATTTCAGCTCTTTATTCCAGCTGTTCTGATATTCTCCCAGAGAGTGACGGGAAGCAGAAGTGTGTGTGTGTGTGTGTGTGTGTGTGTGTGTTTGCGCAGATATGTTTTATCGGTGCTCTACAGCTGCCGGCGACTGGAGAAAGAGGAAGAGCAGATCTGGGTCTGACGGTTCCTCTGAAAACCACAGAGAACCAGCTTCAGCTTCAGTCCACAACACCACTGCAGATCTGATGGAGAACACCGGCCTCAGGTCACCACACACACACACACACACATATATATATATATATATATATATATATATATATATATATATATATAGAGAGAGAGAGAGAGAGAGAGAGAGAGAGAGAGAGAGACAGACACATATACACAAACAAACTTACACACTCTTACACACATATACATACACAGACACACACATGCACACACACACACACACACACACACAAATACATGCATACATAAACACACATGCATACACATACACTCATACATACAAACAAACACACACACACACAGACACAAATATATAATCACACACATACAATAGTCACAGACATGTACACACACACACACACACACATACAGTCATACAAACACACACACAAAAACACACATATATAGACACAAACATATACACATACAGAGACACAGACAAACACACACACACACACACAAATATAAAGACAGACACACATAAGTACACACAAATACATATAAACACACTCTCACAAACACATGGTCATGCACATACATATACACACACGCATACAATCACACACTTACACATATGCATGTGCGTGCTGCACAAACACACACACACAGTCACAATTTTCACTCATTCATTTTCCTTCAGCTTAGTCCATTTATTAATCAGGGGTCGCCACAGCGGAATGAACCACTAACTAATCCATCATGTTTTACACAGCGGATGCCTTTGCAGCTACAACTGGTAAACACTCATACACTACGGCCAGTGTAGTTGATCAGTTCCCCTATAGCGCATGTGTTTGGACTGTGGGGGAAACCAGAGCACCCAGAGGAAACCCACACCAACACAGGGAGAACATGCAAACTCCACACAGAAACACCAACTGACCCAGCCGGGAAGTCACCGTTTTTTTAATGATTTAATTGGTAATTAATGACTTTAGGTAAGTAACAACACATAATACAG